CGTAAATGAGAATCTTGGTTCGGATGTAATTTTCTTTAAAAGGGTGAATCGGGACAAACAACTAGAATTTAGAAAATTAAGATCCGCAACTGTACTTACGTTCTATTCATCTAGTAAGCTAACTCAACTACCAAATGATGATTTTAACTGTTGTGCGTCCGGATAAAACAATCTCTTGTAGCAAACAGTTTGTTTTATACTGTAGAAAGCTCGCACCTCCAGACGCAGGACCGCATATTGATAAGTTTTCCAGAGCTCATTAAATCTAGTTTTCAGTCGCATGCCTAACACCTTCTCAATCCTTTGTTCTCGACTCGTGGATTTAGGCCTTAACTTAGAATGTTTCCTCTAACGAAAACATAAACGTTTTTCGATAGAAACTTAGCTTAAAATGATAACTTCCTCTCTTTCCGATTATTGGTCTTTCTAAAATATTCCTTAGCATAGAGGGTCCTTGAAATACAAATCTTTGCACAAACACAGAAACTGAGCTAAATGATAAATTCTTTTGTATTTGCCATCTCCAACAGCTGAAGTCACCCAACTTATCCGTAACAAAAGAGCTTACTTTAGCTGTAATGAGAAAATTCCAACCGATTTATATCAGTGCGACGTGAATAGTCGTTGTAAGGTATATAATCGACTGTCAAGCGATACACAGTTAAAGAAGTGGCCCGAAGAACTGTTTCCTCTTTGGATGTGCTAACTTACAAAATCTGCCCGGTAACACTAGCTTAGTTTACGCTCGAAGCTCTCCCACTTGCCTTTCACCTGTTCTTTTAAGCACCTCTCCATTACTTCTAATTTTCAACTAACAACTATCTTAGATCAGCGCTAATTCGCTAATTCACTGAGTTCTTCAAGGCTTCCAAACCGAGCTCTACCCCTAAGTAATTAGTTATTCTTGCCACTAGCCAATGAAGCTAACTAATGCGTTCTAAATTATACCTAAGTTTTGCTGAGTCACTTACTGTGATCTCCACTGACTTTGTTTTCTAAAATTCTCAGCATAAGCCATGGGTAAGAGCTGATGTAAACTGCGCGAAAACAGATTAAGTAACTTCCTGGACAAGGCTCCATATATAGTTAAGAGAAATATTAATTGTCAAATAAAGTAGAGTTGACCTTCGGGCAGGAAATTAATGTACAATCAACCAGAGATCCCGGTTGTAGTCTGGGCTACTTCCCGCTGCAGCGAGTTACTACTCAAACTCTTCGCCATCACTGAGTTATTTCCTTACAAAAGACCCACCTACAAAAAGCATTCAGAGTGCTTGAAAACTAACCTCTGTTTGATAGCTTTCTATTGATAATCTCCTTTTTTCAGTGAAATAATGTCAGTAGTAAGATATTTCAGTCTCATTCACGGACGTTCTGTGACGATGTACTGCTTTGGCTTGTATGAATTGCTTTTGTTTGGTTACTTTAGTTCTGCAATTTCTTCGTCCTGTTTTCATTCGGAAAAAAATAGAGGGCGTAAATATGTACTGATGATTTCTCGATTGTTTAGTCCATGCAAAATAAAGTCTATTGCTGAGAAAATGGAGACCAAATTACACGCGGCGATTTTGACCAAATTTTGCTTAAATTAGTTTCTTAAAAGGAGTGCGTACTAATAACAAATCACCCGATCTCCAGACTAAATATCTTGTACCCTTCCCAAGAGATTGATATTGATATATGGGGTCAATTTTCATCTTGGCAATGAAAATAACAAAATAGTAATAGGGCATTAAAATCACTTGTTACATTAAAATCGTAGGACGGTACGGCGAATGACCCACCTATAAACTGACTGACAAATCACAACGTATGAATTTCTCTATGAAAGGCCTAGCTTCAGACCGTTTCTCGCGTCGTTTACTGAATATTCAACAAATATTAAATCGTTATTTGAACGCCAATACTTTTACATTAATCCGGGAGCAAGCTCACCATTAGGTTGCACGTGCGAGCGGCGAAGGCTCAAGGTGGGCTCTAATTTCCATTGGACTCAAAATGCCGGTTTGCATTTCGAAAAAAACCTGACCAGGAATTTCTGTCCCAATTAGTTTTTCTCCCCGAATTTCCTGAATTTTCGGCTGAATGATTGGCATTTCGGAAATGTAGCAATTACCGGGTTTTTTTGGAATTTTTCCAAAGAAAATGTCCCTACCATCCTTTTGGAAATTCTGGTTGGATGGAAAGCGCCAAGTGACTTTCGCCGCCCGCAGGTGTAAACCAAAGGTGATCATTCTAACAGGCTAGCTAGTACCTATCAACATAGTGAGCTGCGATGAAACTGCTGTTTTAAACAGAAGAAAAGTATTAAAGAAATATAGACTATATCGAAAGAGTACTTCATTTTTAAAATATCAAACTTACGCTAAAAAGGAAAATATTGGCTGAGAACCTTACTTGTACGAAACACGTTTCTTTGCTGGTTACAAACACAATGCCCAGAATAAAGAAAGTTTGTTCAGTGCAACGTATATATACTCACCTTTGACGTCGAACATAGACAATGATGTACCTCTTTCAAAATTTAGGTTAATTAGAGGACCATATGCACGATGTCTTAAGTCATTTTTCTGATGTACAAAATGACTATATTAGGTAGAAATACACGTAATTTTTACATTTGGGAAAGACAGAGATAGGTTATGAAGGTGAAGATGTTCAATATTTCCAAGATAGGACATCTGTGATCGAATTTCCCTAAGACCATTAGATATGTTTTTGTTCTCTAAGATCATTTTATTCCTTTATCATACTCAGAAATCTGTTTGATTGATAAGATCCTAAAGACCTTTTCATCGTGTACAGAATGTTAGAGATATTTGAAATATTTACAGGGATTACCAATAATTACTCAAAACCCTCAAACCACGAAAGTCAACACCAGTCTACTTGTATCAACTCCTATTCAATGGAGAAGCTTCTCGTTTAGCACTATTCAACACTTTTTTTATCTCGAAAATACCAGAAAGCTGGTGGCAGAAATTTGAATTTTAGTAGATTGCAAACCAGAGATGTTAATATCTGTAACCAAAACAAGGTCAGCAAAAGTCTCTACCTGTCACAATCTGTGTGTGATTTCGGAAAAAAAAAAACTAGATTTTAAACTGCAGTTGAAATGAAATTTAAGGTTACTGTGTGATCGTGGTGTGGGAATAGAATCACCGGAAACAGCTGAACAAACAATAAACTAGGAATAAACGGATCGAAGGTAAAGAAATACCGGTCAATAATCACGAACGAACGAGGATCTCAGATTTTAACAATGTATGGGATCTTTAATAAGCTAGGAATGCTTCGCATTTCTGCTGAGATTTATTTTAACATACACTGATAGTATATCCACGAAAGTGACCTCAAACGAGTGTTGGTTAGTTCTGAAACGAGTGAAGATACTAGAGATTTCAAAGACCTTGGCATTAATGATGAAGATCTCAGTCAAAGATAATTTATTTTAAATCAGCAACGTATCTAACTTATTGTTATGCAAATTTCCAACCTTTATGCACCAGGTCTTTTCAGCTATAGATTCATCCTTGTCTGTGTAGATCAGTCAAAAAGTAGGCCCACGTCTCATAGAAAAGAAATCCTTTACAGAACCTATATCAGTCAACGTTCAAGAAACTTCATAATCCATTTATCTATTTTTTCCCTATATTAAGAATATAACAAACAAATAGTTTAGTGAGATGTTTTTTATATTATTATTATTATTTTAAGACTCGCACGTTTTTCATTACTTGTGAAAGCCAGCGTTGCAGTGTCGTCATTATGCAGTCGGCCCAAATCCATTTCCACTTCCTCTTTAAAAATAAAACACTGCTGTCTTCAGAGCTCTAGAGTAAAGTGGCTTTAACGATTACAGGAAACGAGCAAACATGTCCTAGGAATCTGATCGCTACATTTACAACTCAACTACTGCGCCCCAAATTTGCTTTCCAAAGGAACCGTGGTACAACGGTAACATGACTAGAAAGTGCCACCAGAAGAGGCTAAGGTGTTTGGTGATAGGATTTTCGTTTTGGGCCGGTGGGGGAATGATGAAACAGTTTTTTACGTTAATTTGATTTATTTCAATCATATGGGTGTTAAAAAGAAGTTTTCATTGGAGGCCGCTCTGTTTGTACTTTCCATGCTGTTGCATGGACAGGAGCTTTAAATTATGATGATAATTTTCACCTTCTTCTACTACGCGGTACACGTAGTTTTTGCTTGCACCTCCAGTTTAAATTGCGATGAACGTCATAGGACGGTTGTCATATATAACAGGACCAAGAAGCATGGCGAGAAGTTTTCTCGACAGAATGTCAGCGAGGAATGATGACCGAACAGCTTATGAATGCCTCAGCATCCCGGAGCTAACCCTCAGACGTACAAGGAGGGGGCGGGAGTGGATGCCACCCCCCATAAGGTTTTTTCAACTTTTTAAAAAGACGATTTACTCTAAGGCGCATCTTCCGCGGAAATTTTGATATGTCAAGTGTGTGTCTGTCATTTTTGACCGACACATTGGCAGTTTACCAGTACTGATTCTAACGGTTTTGAGGCAGTACTGGCAGTTTTTAAGGAAGAAAAGGGGAATATATAGCGCTCTTGCAAAAATGGCGCAAAATTTGAGTAACAACACGACGAAAAAGCATGGTCTTATGGTGTTTATGATTTTAGACAGAGAATTGAACGCCTATTATACGCGATTGGTCCATGCAGTTGTAAGTAATATATCAAAATACGAAAGACCGTGCTTGACCACATTTCCAAACACCGAGAAGAGAGTTGAACATACGACGCGCAGCGGAGTATTTTTGACAAACTTCGAGGTGTTTGGAAATGGGGTCACACACTGTCTTGAGCGTTTGATATATCTTCTCAATCGAAACTAAAACTAAGGAGAAAACGGAGAAATAAGATCGTAAAAATCTGTGCTAATTAAGATCAGATATCCAAACACCATCGCGGTCAGATTTCCTTTGTTTAAACTTGATGAAAGATTCATCCTCCACATCTTAAACTGGAAACAAAGTCCTCTCCAGAACCCACCCATATCAATGTTCAGGAAACCTTAAGACAACTTTATCACGCTTTATGTCGTTATCTATTGTTTGACGATTTAAAATCAAGTAAACAGATAGGTTATCAAAATGGGTTTTTATTTTGAGGTAAGACGTTTAATTTTATTGTAGTGTCTTCATCATGGAGCTGACCCAAATCCACTTGCACTTCCTCCTTCTAAAATAAAAAAAAATAGAATAGTTTAACCTGTTTACACAACAGAGGGTCGTATTTTACATTTTCTAGTGGATAAGTTTAGATATGTCCGATAGTTGGCAATGTTATCGTGTTTTATTTTTAAAAAAAAGTTCAAGAGCAAAGAGTTTAGAGTCCATGAGCCTACAGCTGCCCTTGAGTTCTGATTTTTACCTGCTGATCTCAACCAGCTAATCTCTGCCAAATATTATTTGCTTCCAAATAGAACCGTCGTATAGTAGCGATATGACTGGAAAGTTAGGCAAGAAATTTTACTTAAGCTTTTTTTTTTTTTTTTTTTTTTNTCATATTTTTGGCCCAACTTATTTTAAGATTAAGTGGCTGATGCCGATGGCCATCTTAGAAACAATTCTCTTAACCAGTGTTGATTTAGTAGGTCAGACTCCGTAAATGAGAATCTTGGTTCGGATGTAATTTTCTTTAAAAGGGTGAATCGGGACAAACAACTAGAATTTAGAAAATTAAGATCCGCAACTGTACTTACGTTCTATTCATCTAGTAAGCTAACTCAACTACCAAATGATGATTTTAACTGTTGTGCGTCCGGATAAAACAATCTCTTGTAGCAAACAGTTTGTTTTATACTGTAGAAAGCTCGCACCTCCAGACGCAGGACCGCATATTGATAAGTTTTCCAGAGCTCATTAAATCTAGTTTTCAGTCGCATGCCTAACACCTTCTCAATCCTTTGTTCTCGACTCGTGGATTTAGGCCTTAACTTAGAATGTTTCCTCTAACGAAAACATAAACGTTTTTCGATAGAAACTTAGCTTAAAATGATAACTTCCTCTCTTTCCGATTATTGGTCTTTCTAAAATATTCCTTAGCATAGAGCGTCCTTGAAATACAAATCTTTGCACAAACACAGAAACTGAGCTAAATGATAAATTCTTTTGTATTTGCCATCTCCAACAGCTGAAGTCACCCAACTTATCCGTAACAAAAGAGCTTACTTTAGCTGTAATGAGAAAATTCCAACCGATTTATATCAGTGCGACGTGAATAGTCGTTGTAAGGTATATAATCGACTGTCAAGCGATACACAGTTAAAGAAGTGGCCCGAAGAACTGTTTCCTCTTTGGATGTGCTAACTTACAAAATCTGCCCGGTAACACTAGCTTAGTTTACGCTCGAAGCTCTCCCACTTGCCTTTCACCTGTTCTTTTAAGCACCTCTCCATTACTTCTAATTTTCAACTAACAACTATCTTAGATCAGCGCTAATTCGCTAATTCACTGAGTTCTTCAAGGCTTCCAAACCGAGCTCTACCCCTAAGTAATTAGTTATTCTTGCCACTAGCCAATGAAGCTAACTAATGCGTTCTAAATTATACCTAAGTTTTGCTGAGTCACTTACTGTGATCTCCACTGACTTTGTTTTCTAAAATTCTCAGCATAAGCCATGGGTAAGAGCTGATGTAAACTGCGCGAAAACAGATTAAGTAACTTCCTGGACAAGGCTCCATATATAGTTAAGAGAAATATTAATTGTCAAATAAAGTAGAGTTGACCTTCGGGCAGGAAATTAATGTACAATCAACCAGAGATCCCGGTTGTAGTCTGGGCTACTTCCCGCTGCAGCGAGTTACTACTCAAACTCTTCGCCATCACTGAGTTATTTCCTTACAAAAGACCCACCTACAAAAAGCATTCAGAGTGCTTGAAAACTAACCTCTGTTTGATAGCTTTCTATTGATAATCTCCTTTTTTCAGTGAAATAATGTCAGTAGTAAGATATTTCAGTCTCATTCACGGACGTTCTGTGACGATGTACTGCTTTGGCTTGTATGAATTGCTTTTGTTTGGTTACTTTAGTTCTGCAATTTCTTCGTCCTGTTTTCATTCGGAAAAAAATAGAGGGCGTAAATATGTACTGATGATTTCTCGATTGTTTAGTCCATGCAAAATAAAGTCTATTGCTGAGAAAATGGAGACCAAATTACACGCGGCGATTTTGACCAAATTTTGCTTAAATTAGTTTCTTAAAAGGAGTGCGTACTAATAACAAATCACCCGATCTCCAGACTAAATATCTTGTACCCTTCCCAAGAGATTGATATTGATATATGGGGTCAATTTTCATCTTGGCAATGAAAATAACAAAATAGTAATAGGGCATTAAAATCACTTGTTACATTAAAATCGTAGGACGGTACGGCGAATGACCCACCTATAAACTGACTGACAAATCACAACGTATGAATTTCTCTATGAAAGGCCTAGCTTCAGACCGTTTCTCGCGTCGTTTACTGAATATTCAACAAATATTAAATCGTTATTTGAACGCCAATACTTTTACATTAATCCGGGAGCAAGCTCACCATTAGGTTGCACGTGCGAGCGGCGAAGGCTCAAGGTGGGCTCTAATTTCCATTGGACTCAAAATGCCGGTTTGCATTTCGAAAAAAACCTGACCAGGAATTTCTGTCCCAATTAGTTTTTCTCCCCGAATTTCCTGAATTTTCGGCTGAATGATTGGCATTTCGGAAATGTAGCAATTACCGGGTTTTTTTGGAATTTTTCCAAAGAAAATGTCCCTACCATCCTTTTGGAAATTCTGGTTGGATGGAAAGCGCCAAGTGACTTTCGCCGCCCGCAGGTGTAAACCAAAGGTGATCATTCTAACAGGCTAGCTAGTACCTATCAACATAGTGAGCTGCGATGAAACTGCTGTTTTAAACAGAAGAAAAGTATTAAAGAAATATAGACTATATCGAAAGAGTACTTCATTTTTAAAATATCAAACTTACGCTAAAAAGGAAAATATTGGCTGAGAACCTTACTTGTACGAAACACGTTTCTTTGCTGGTTACAAACACAATGCCCAGAATAAAGAAAGTTTGTTCAGTGCAACGTATATATACTCACCTTTGACGTCGAACATAGACAATGATGTACCTCTTTCAAAATTTAGGTTAATTAGAGGACCATATGCACGATGTCTTAAGTCATTTTTCTGATGTACAAAATGACTATATTAGGTAGAAATACACGTAATTTTTACATTTGGGAAAGACAGAGATAGGTTATGAAGGTGAAGATGTTCAATATTTCCAAGATAGGACATCTGTGATCGAATTTCCCTAAGACCATTAGATATGTTTTTGTTCTCTAAGATCATTTTATTCCTTTATCATACTCAGAAATCTGTTTGATTGATAAGATCCTAAAGACCTTTTCATCGTGTACAGAATGTTAGAGATATTTGAAATATTTACAGGGATTACCAATAATTACTCAAAACCCTCAAACCACGAAAGTCAACACCAGTCTACTTGTATCAACTCCTATTCAATGGAGAAGCTTCTCGTTTAGCACTATTCAACACTTTTTTTATCTCGAAAATACCAGAAAGCTGGTGGCAGAAATTTGAATTTTAGTAGATTGCAAACCAGAGATGTTAATATCTGTAGCCAAAACAAGGTCAGCAAAAGTCTCTACCTGTCACAATCTGTGTGTGATTTCGGAAAAAAAAAACTAGATTTTAAACTGCAGTTGAAATGAAATTTAAGGTTACTGTGTGATCGTGGTGTGGGAATAGAATCACCGGAAACAGCTGAACAAACAATAAACTAGGAATAAACGGATCGAAGGTAAAGAAATACCGGTCAATAATCACGAACGAACGAGGATCTCAGATTTTAACAATGTATGGGATCTTTAATAAGCTAGGAATGCTTCGCATTTCTGCTGAGATTTATTTTAACATACACTGATAGTATATCCACGAAAGTGACCTCAAACGAGTGTTGGTTAGTTCTGAAACGAGTGAAGATACTAGAGATTTCAAAGACCTTGGCATTAATGATGAAGATCTCAGTCAAAGATAATTTATTTTAAATCAGCAACGTATCTAACTTATTGTTATGCAAATTTCCAACCTTTATGCACCAGGTCTTTTCAGCTATAGATTCATCCTTGTCTGTGTAGATCAGTCAAAAAGTAGGCCCACGTCTCATAGAAAAGAAATCCTTTACAGAACCTATATCAGTCAACGTTCAAGAAACTTCATAATCCATTTATCTATTTTTTCCCTATATTAAGAATATAACAAACAAATAGTTTAGTGAGATGTTTTTTATATTATTATTATTATTTTAAGACTCGCACGTTTTTCATTACTTGTGAAAGCCAGCGTTGCAGTGTCGTCATTATGCAGTCGGCCCAAATCCATTTCCACTTCCTCTTTAAAAATAAAACACTGCTGTCTTCAGAGCTCTAGAGTAAAGTGGCTTTAACGATTACAGGAAACGAGCAAACATGTCCTAGGAATCTGATCGCTACATTTACAACTCAACTACTGCGCCCCAAATTTGCTTTCCAAAGGAACCGTGGTACAACGGTAACATGACTAGAAAGTGCCACCAGAAGAGGCTAAGGTGTTTGGTGATAGGATTTTCGTTTTGGGCCGGTGGGGGAATGATGAAACAGTTTTTTACGTTAATTTGATTTATTTCAATCATATGGGTGTTAAAAAGAAGTTTTCATTGGAGGCCGCTCTGTTTGTACTTTCCATGCTGTTGCATGGACAGGAGCTTTAAATTATGATGATAATTTTCACCTTCTTCTACTACGCGGTACACGTAGTTTTTGCTTGCACCTCCAGTTTAAATTGCGATGAACGTCATAGGACGGTTGTCATATATAACAGGACCAAGAAGCATGGCGAGAAGTTTTCTCGACAGAATGTCAGCGAGGAATGATGACCGAACAGCTTATGAATGCCTCAGCATCCCGGAGCTAACCCTCAGACGTACAAGGAGGGGGCGGGAGTGGATGCCACCCCCCATAAGGTTTTTTCAACTTTTTAAAAAGACGATTTACTCTAAGGCGCATCTTCCGCGGAAATTTTGATATGTCAAGTGTGTGTCTGTCATTTTTGACCGACACATTGGCAGTTTACCAGTACTGATTCTAACGGTTTTGAGGCAGTACTGGCAGTTTTTAAGGAAGAAAAGGGGAATATATAGCGCTCTTGCAAAAATGGCGCAAAATTTGAGTAACAACACGACGAAAAAGCATGGTCTTATGGTGTTTATGATTTTAGACAGAGAATTGAACGCCTATTATACGCGATTGGTCCATGCAGTTGTAAGTAATATATCAAAATACGAAAGACCGTGCTTGACCACATTTCCAAACACCGAGAAGAGAGTTGAACATACGACGCGCAGCGGAGTATTTTTGACAAACTTCGAGGTGTTTGGAAATGTGGTCACACACTGTCTTGAGCGTTTGATATATCTTCTCAATCGAAACTAAAACTAAGGAGAAAACGGAGAAATAAGATCGTAAAAATCTGTGCTAATTAAGATCAGATATCCAAACACCATCGCGGTCAGATTTCCTTTGTTTAAACTTGATGAAAGATTCATCCTCCACATCTTAAACTGGAAACAAAGTCCTCTCCAGAACCCACCCATATCAATGTTCAGGAAACCTTAAGACAACTTTATCACGCTTTATGTCGTTATCTATTGTTTGACGATTTAAAATCAAGTAAACAGATAGGTTATCAAAATGGGTTTTTATTTTGAGGTAAGACGTTTAATTTTATTGTAGTGTCTTCATCATGGAGCTGACCCAAATCCACTTGCACTTCCTCCTTCTAAAATAAAAAAAAATAGAATAGTTTAACCTGTTTACACAACAGAGGGTCGTATTTTACATTTTCTAGTGGATAAGTTTAGATATGTCCGATAGTTGGCAATGTTATCGTGTTTTATTTTTAAAAAAAAGTTCAAGAGCAAAGAGTTTAGAGTCCATGAGCCTACAGCTGCCCTTGAGTTCTGATTTTTACCTGCTGATCTCAACCAGCTAATCTCTGCCAAATATTATTTGCTTCCAAATAGAACCGTCGTATAGTAGCGATATGACTGGAAAGTTAGGCAAGAAATTTTACTTAAGCTTTTTTTTTTTTTTTTTTTTTTGATAGGTAGGGTAGGGGTGCATTTTTTTAATTAGGTTAATTTGGTTTCATTTCAATCATATGGGACCTGTTTTTTTATGAATGGAGCCTTCATTGGCAGCCGCTGTGGCTGTACTTTTCAAAACTATTTCTTGAAGTCCTCGTATGGATAAGAACCTCAAAATATGATGATCATATTCACCTTCTACGCGGTACACGTAGTTTTTGTTTTCACCTCCAACACATTCGTTGCTGTCTTCGTCATCGCACGGTTTGTATGCAAACCCCATGCAATTTTCGGATTTTCCGTAGCGGTCAAACTTGTCAGCGGCCTCAGGATCACTCCAACATTCACCATAGTACTGTAGACCAAAATGGTCGTACCCTTTAGTCCTTGATTCCTTGGCACAGCGGCAAGCCAGTCTAAAGAAAATTATAGAAACACAACACATATTGTCTCATACCTAATCACGAAGGTTTTATTTGGCCAAGATGCACCACCAAGCATTCGTTTATCACATTTAAAAAGGATTTGTTTACAGGAAACCAGAGATATGAAATGGGCAATATTATCGTTTTTTTATCAAGTATGGATATGAAATCTCGCTTTATAGACAAGGGAATAGACGACAAAGAGAGAGAACGATTCACTGCAAGATTAAAAGGCTCAGTGAGCCAGATTGTTTTGCAAAAGTCAATTTAAAGAATGAAAACAAACTAATATTGCGATGCTAAAATGATCGTCAATTGCAAAATTATTGAACATAACTTTAAAAGAAGAACATTAGAACGAATGGTAAGCTACAAAAATTCGAAATGGGATGAGGGTAAATTTCCGGTTGCCATGCGTACGTGCGTGCCATCGTCAAGAATCGTAGACAAATAGTTGTCACAACAACATGTCCGTGGGAGATGACTGAACAGCTCATCATAAATTTTCATCATACCAAAATGAAAGTTCTTTTCCAAAGTCTTCAAAAGTCTAAGAGGGCTGGCATTTGGTAAGATCGATTGACGAATTGATTTCAACCAAACCCTTTGAAATTAAACTTCATAACTTACAGGTCAACTAGAGAGTTCCTTGCTCTCAATGTTGAAATGAATACTTGACCCTCGTTATATTTACCACCATTCTGGAACACTTGCCTTTTTAAAAACTTTTCCCATTTACCAGCTTCCCAGTCTATATTTTTCCGGTCACTGAAGATTCTTACAGACAGCGCCCTGGCATCCGTTTTATCTTTAAAACATCCTACTTTCTCGTAGTTCACGTCACATTCTTCTGGTTCATCTGAGACCTCCTCTAATTCAAAGACAACAAGCATCCATAGAAGAAATCTTATCAGTTGCAGTCAAGCATTGGTAAAAAGAAAAGGCTTCCAGTATTTTTGGATTGGAGGACCAGGATGCCTATATTTTAACTATCATCTCTGATGCGAGACTGAGAATATTGTAACTGACTGGACCAGATGCTAGTAAACTGCTGATTCTATCTGTAGCCCTGGCTGCCTGCCATTTTTTACCTCTAGTTATTTAGCTGGGCCCCTAATAGATAACTTTGGAAAATATTTCTGTGAGACCAAGGGAAAATAAAGCTTGTGTGGTGCTGTGTCCCCCCGCCTCCTCCCCACACGCTCTCAATTTACATAAGAGATGTTAAGTGTCATTCCAAAGGGTACACCCGAGAGGCCGGTCCAGTACATGAATCAAGCACAATCATTCCGCCATGCCACCTGAACACTTTAATAAACAATCATTCCACGAGCGCGCGTTTGATTAGAAATGGATATGATTGGTCCATATCTGACAAGCGCCAGTGGAATAACTTTTTTATTAAAAAACGCTCCCAAATCATAGATACTAAACTAATATTAAAATAAAAACGCCTAAAAGAATCACGCGTACGTTTATCATATTTACAGAGCATGGTATAATGGCACATAACCAATGATGACTAAGCCAATGAAAGCTTCAAGATTGCATTATCCAATGGTCCAGTTTTTAAAAATGAGGTAATAGATCGGTTTTCAAGAGTGTCGTTAAACCAAAACCGAAGCAATTTTCTTTTTCAATTAGAACACTCAGCCAATCTCAAACCGTAGTAAAACAAAACCCAAAACGAAAGCAATTTTTTATCAATTAGAACACTCAGCCGATCTCAAACGGTAGTAAAACCAAACCCAAAACTAAAGTAATTACCTTATCACTTTCGACGCCAAATTTAATACTGCTCTGTGTAGATGCAAAGAAATTATTCAAGAAACAAATGGGGTTTTCAATTCACATTTAGCAGTATGGCATCAATTAAGATTCGCTATCTATAACAATTGAAATGAATATCTACTAACCCTCCTCCAGAAAAGAACGATACATCTGTTCGAATTCCATGTCGTTCTTGATGTCTGATAATCAAAATTATATTATATTACTGACTCAAACTATGGACTCTACGGTTATACACTACTGTAGGCTCTTTTACAAGCCGACGTCGTGACACCAGTGCTAAAGTTACCCTAGAGGGTCAAAGAAACTGGGTTCACAAGCACCATTTGTCTGTTAAAGTTATCGTATCCGGCGTGCAGCCGCAACAGTTCCGGTACCGTTCAGCGTCACACTTCAGTGTCACTTGGATTACCCTACCGCCTTCTAAACGTGGACTAGATTCACGAAGTTCTCTTACGTTAAGATGCATTCGAAATATTAGCTCTTAACGTTAGGCTTATTTATTGTTTTACTGGAAAATACAACACTTGTAAAATTCATGAAAAAAAACACATCCGAGACTCGAGTGACGACAAGTGAAGATATCGATGATTTCACTGATGTTAAGTTTGTCTCTTAAATTTGTTGGTGTATGATCGAAACATCTTCGGGTATTCCTCGAAAGTCTTCGGCAATCTTCGGTAATGTTCGGCAAGTTCGTGTGACCTTCGAACAAGTTTTGGAGAATTTTCGGAAATCTTTGGAAAATCGTCAAAAACGCCGTCATCAGTATGTCTATATAATAAAAAGAACATTACACGTCAGCTCGAAGATATGAATTTTATGTTCTCGTGGCAAGAACAATATCTCACTCGTTCGCTGCGCTCGGTCGTGAGATATTGTTCTTGCCACTCGAACATAACATTCATATTTTCTCGCCACCGTGCAATATCCTCTATGTATTGAACAAATTGTACCTTAGATATACATCTTAACCCAAGTGGGCATCGTGAACCCTACCCACGACTAGTTAATGCGACGTACAATTTCATTAAGATGACTTTTGCTTAGCCTGAAGGAAAACTGCATTCGTTCGATTTGATTTTCGGGGTTCTACTGTCCTGTTGACATAAGGACAGTAGAACATGTTCAGTAGGTGTTTCATCTAACCTTTCTCCTTTGATTCTCTTTAAAGATTACTACTTTGAATATGTCTTGCATGATGCATGACCAACTAAATGCGTTCACTTTAGTCTGAGAAAGACGATAAATAAATCCTTAGATCATAGATGGAATATTGTTAGAAAAGTCACTCTTGCTGACTTTAGCAGACACTTAAGACAGTTTTTGTCGACGTCAAGTTGTGCATGAGGTACGCTTTTGACTGGAATATATATTTTTCGCTTGGAACCTCACTTTCTATAACGCACGTTTGAATTGAAAAGGACGAACAATTAGCACTTCCAGCTAAGAAAAGATTATACCGCACCAGCTGTAGCAACAAATAATAAAGATGGCGATAAAAAACAAATTACGATTACCTTTCAAGGACGATGATTGGACCATTACCACCAGCAGAAAAATCAGGCAGCCACTTGATAATGTGAGGAAATTCATAGTCTGCGTAAAACAGGCAAAACGGGTGACTATTTAATACTAACGTATTTTTTTTTTAACAAAAATAAATGATAATCATTTGCTTTAAGTGGTAGAAAGCAAGAAAGGCAAGTGAGGACGAAAGCCGCTTTACTCGTTTATTTAATAAAACGTTAACGACCAAAGTGCTAGAAATGAAAATAAAAGACCGACATTAAAACATCTTCTTTTTCCATAAAGAGTTAAGTTGATAAATCACACCATTTCAGTTGTAAAAAAAACTATGTAATTCTTCGACAAGAAAGTCACAAACAAAATAAAGAAGAGGGCGCCTGATATTAGTTCCACCAAGCTTTAATGTATTGATTAAAACTCTTAGTTAATTTAAAACTTATAAGCAATAGAGTGAGTGGTAGATAGGGCGATAGTGAACCATTAAAAGGGAAGCCGAATCCGAAAAGATTAACTCGCTACTAAAACGTTTCTTCGAAGCTCGCTATTAGTAACATAAGACAAAGTAAAGAAAAATATCAATTCTATAATTTTATATGAAGCCAGAAGAAGACCTACCTTCCTTGAGTGAAACAGAGTTTTTTAGAATTTTCGTAAGGAGATTGGGAGCGTGGACAAAAGCAGCAATGGCAAATTAAAACGTGAAAGTCGTTCTTCAAACTAAGCTGTTAAAAGTGGGAAATTTCGCAATGCGGAAAAAGAGTATCACCTTTTCGTTTTATAACTCTGGCTGTGTTATCTATTCATTATGCCATTTGTCGGTTTGTTGAAACACTTGCACAAATAACACGCTTTGATTTATCTTGGAGCAAACGATAAAACATGTAATTAAAAATAAATTGTTATCGATCTAGCTGGGTTTTAAAATTGCCTTAAAGAGGCTTTTACTCGGACGATAAGATATCTTAATGGTTAACAACTCCGCATAATATTATAATTAGTAACAGAGGAATTCGACATCGCTTTAGGTAGAAAGCTATGCTTTTCAAGTACTAGAGCACAAAATTCGATATTTAAATTGTTTAAATAACAACTTAAACAATTTTAGCTTTAAACTGATCAATAAGAATCGTATTTTGTTTTCTCATAATAGATTTTCGATAATAAAACAGACATCGTTGAGTGGGTCTACTACCAAAGAATCATTACGAAAGACAGTAAACAGGCATCTTGCATACGATTCAGGGAAGTTATTGATATTTATGTAGAAAGAACCATCTCTAAAAAGCTTAAAATCATGTGAATTATGTCTCACCACTGTGAACAATTTGAAACACTGAACGTAGGAGTGAAAGTTCCAACAGGAATGGACAACAACACGTGAAATTTGTCCAGGACAAAGACGTTTTCTTACTGTTAATTCCATCTGAAAAAGTAAATGTTGCGACCTCTTCGACAATTATAAATTTTCTATTTTATTAATATATGGTTATTGAGAGTGCTCAAAGACCAATAACACCCTGACGCAAAAAAATCAAGAGGCCAATATCCAGCCATCTTGACCAAATAGGCAAGGTCAATAAAGAATTTATTTAATTGCATGGTGACAGGGACAACGCAGGAGGTGATGCTTGGGGATTTTTAGTACCCCTCTCTCTCACCCCGCTATTTGAAATTAAAAATAAGCAAATAAAGCGAAATGCGATATACCATAACGACTTCTTATGAATAATTCGTTAATGGATTATATACCTGGGATACTCCGTGGCCAGATATACGTTGACGAATTCATGGGAACCAAGCCCCCCACCCCCCGCCCCACGCCGAAAAAAACCCTTTGATTTCGTCTTCAAATTAAATTTAGACCCACGCACACAATTTTTCAGAGTCGTTTTACAGAGGACAAGGATGTTACCTGCTAGTGGTAAAAGAGTAGTTTATGTCCTGAAGAAGATGTGAAACGAAGCAAGCTTCAAATCATCAGTCAATGACGCGAATTTACTATAACCTTACTAGCTGAGGCAATGTTACCGGGGTGAACGCTTACACCAAGGAGAATTGAAATTGAGGCTCCCTCCACCTTAATAGGTTTTAAATAATAATATTAAATAATCTTTATGGAGGAAGCTCCCGTCACATTGCGTTGTTTTCAGGGAGAACCTCGAAAACTCATTAAACGTTTCGGCAGCGTTTTCCTCATCAACACCAAACGCTCGAAAACGTTGATACCCGGTCAAGAGAAAATGACCCAAGTACAATCGTCACCTGCGAATATGCATGTATGTGAATGACTTAAGCGTTTCAAAGGCCCCCGTTTTATTACTCTTACGCTTACAGTAGCTGGGGGAGGGGGTGGTTTAGGAACCAAACCAACTACTAGATCCCATACCCGATGGCGCTTAACTTTGCTGTTCGCACAATGTACTGCAGTGCCCTAGTGCTAGCCAGCTGTCCTTGAGAAAAGACATGAAATTTAAATTTTTGTGTACGTATTAGTAGACCGCTCATTCACGTATTTACCTGTACACTGTATTCTATTCAGCTTATTCATAGTACATATATAGTATCAACTCAGATCTGAGATTGAAATGGGTAACTGTGTTTTTTGCTTTACTAATTTTATGAGCATCTATTACCCATTTTGAGTCAAGGTTTTTTTTTTTCTTAATTCTTAGTTCTTCTTTAATCGTTTGAATTGCCCCCGACCAAATTATAACTGTTTTGCAGATTACATTAATAATTGTTTTCGATGCGCCAATGGCAACGTCGATACATAAGCAGCAAAGAGAAAACACGATAGAAACACGAGTAGAAGAGTGAGAGAACGGGAAATGTTGTGGGAACTGAGGCGAGGACGCAACTAAAGTCACATACAAGAATCCATTTTTCTGTTGCATAAGCCCTTCCTTGCTGTTCAGATGTATTTTGTTGAATAACTACAATGCGACAGCTCTGTTACCGCCTTTTTTTTTATCGTATATTTCTTTGGATACATGTACTGGTCTTCTTAAACTTCAGAAAATTAGGTTGCAGTTCCAAGAAGCAAATCTTTTATCTTTGCTCTTCAACCTAAGCAGATCTTCCCAAAGCAAAATCTTGTTCACTATCTGAGAGGGGTTGGGCGGTCATTGAATGACGTTTGAATATTTCTAGTTGAGAACTCGATCACGTCAAACTCACAGGCAACTAGAAAAGAAGAACTAACGAAACACTCTGTTTTGAAAGGCAGACGGTCTTTGAATGGCTTTTAAAAAACTATTAGAGCATCCAGCGTCTATCTGCGCACTTTAAGAAATCAAATCAGACTCGTGGGCGACTAGAATTGTGGAGCCAAGTAACAATATTTATTGGAAGGCAAAGTATCAGAATGGTCATTAAATGGCGTATGACAAGTTAGACTCACAGGCAAATAGAAAAGTAGAGTGAAGTTACATCATGTTTCGTTTTCGTTTTAAAATTCTGACTGTCAAGACGGTAATTAACTGGGATCTGAATTCACGACCAAAACCCAAAACCAATAACCAAACTGCAGGCGTAAACTGCAAGAAATCCCGACAGATTTACAGGCGACTACACCTGTAGACCTGTAAACACTGTACACGCTTTTTACTGTGGCCAAACTGCCAAGATAGTCATTAATTAGAATCTAAACCCTTAGCTATGAAAGTATTTATCAAACAGCAGGTGCGAACTGTGTAAGAAATCACTTAACGCTGACAAGCGAGAGCTATTTGCCAGCTAGAAAGTGTGACTTCGTTTTCTTTTTTTTTACCATGGCAAAACGTTTCAGACAAAATTACAATTGCCTTCATGTAAAACTATTTTACCCGCAGGCTAAAATGTAGACTGTTAAACAGTATTAGCTCGAATAAAGAAATTGTATTATGTGGAAAGTCGCGTTGAATTATTAGGATTGCGTGTGACGAAACAATATGTCTGCTAAAAGGTAAATAAGTCTAACGTGAAATATGAGTAAGAAATGCTCCATTGCCGGACACAATAACATAACCAAAATCAAGGTGAAGGGCAAAAAAAACCAAAAACATTTTTAAGAGCAAGGTGAATACACTTTGGCTAATGTGACCATTTTCACATAACAAACACTAGCTATAGCGTAAAATTTAATGTAAATAGAACTGTAGTCACATGCACATCACAAAACAACCGGAAACAAAATATTTATTTAAGTAGCTGTAGTGGGAATTTATCTCATTGTGAGGTTCCTTTTAGCCACTTAAAGTACATGTACAAGTACACTGCTCTTGCTCCTAATTAGTCCTTGGGCAAACTATGATACAGGCCTTCAACTAATGCGTTACTGATTGAATGTTTGGCCAAAAGCAAGGTGAACGGCAAAAATAACTCAAAAACATTTTTAAGAGTAAGTTGAATACACTCAGTGGGCCAAGGTGACCGTTTTCACCGTGATAACAAACACTGCCAATAGCTTAAAACTGAATACAAACAGAACTCAATGTAGTCGCATATACCTCACAAAACAACCTGAAACAAAAGATTTTTTAAGTAGCTGTAGTAAGAATTATCTAATGCGAGGTTCCATTTAGCTATACTCAAAGTACATGTACAAGTACACTGCACTTGCTTATAGCTGGTCCTTGAGCAAACTATGATACCTGCCTTTAACTAACGCGTTACTAATGACATATTCACCTTAAATAGGTATCTACAACATGCAATGAGAATACAAGTTATAGCTAATAAGAAAATAAGTAAGCTAAACTTCAAAATACCCGCTTCCAAAGTATTTCCAGATTTCTTTTTTTATTCCTGTTTTCGTGCCATGATAACCAGACCTGGCTACAGAACACTCTTTTTAGGAAGACAAAATGCCGAGACGGCCATTAAATGGTGGGTAAATAACTAGGAGAGCATTAATTAGCAGCTGCTTTTTGAAGGCCTTTTAAGAAATCAAGTCAGACTCACAAGTGATTAGAAAAGTAGAGCGAAGTTACATTTCGTGTTCGTTTTAAAATGGTGACTGTCAGGATGGTCATTAACTGGTGTCCTAACCCTTAACTATGAAGGCATTAACCAAACAGCAGGTGTAAACTGTAAGAACACTTAAGACGTACTGACAGGAAATCAGAATTTTAGAGGTAAAAACACCTCTTTTTTTCTCAGCGATGGCAAAAATTTTCCAAAACAAATTGCGGTGACATTATTTCATTTAAAAATCTTTTTTTCACAGGCTTACATGCAGAATGTTTCACATTATTCACTAGCATAAATTATCTGTAAATTATCATGCTGTAAATAGGCCACGTTTGATATATCACTATTATTATTACTCTTTTTTCTTTCTTTTCTTATTAATATAAACTCCTGTCACTACCTCGACTAGTTCTGGAACTATTTGCGGGGACAAGCAATTCTTGTAACTATATAAGAAAAGAAAAGAAAATTGTCGGACATAATAACAGACTCATTTAACCAGCAAAAGCAAGGTGAAGGGCAGGAATAACTCAAAAACATTTTTAAGAGCAAGGTGTATGTACTTACGCCAAGGTGACCATTCTCACATAACAAACACTGTCAAAAGTGTAAAATTAAATGCAAACAGAACTGTAATCCCATGCGCCCTACAAAACAACCCGAAACAAAAAACTTATTTGTGTCGTTGTAGTAGCAATTCATCTTATCTCAGGTTCTCTTAAGCTACTTAAAGTACATGTAGAAGTACACTGCACTTGCTTGTAGCTGGCCCTTGAGCAAACTATGATACATGCCAGTG